CAGAAAAATCTCCATATGGTCCAGCCGAACGTCGTTCGCCAATCAAACACCCAGACAATCTTAAACCCGAAGGTGAATTCACATCGAGACCTAAAGAGAGAACACCAACGAAAGGTGATAGGGCTGAAGTTAAAAGACCAAAGGATAATCTCCATCCAGAGGGTGATTTCGAACGTCCTGAACACGAAGAATTTAGGCCAGCAGAAAGACCAGAAATAAAGAAACCAAAAGATAATCTGAAACCCGAAGGTGAATTCGATAGACCACAGGTAAAGAAGTTTGGTCCTGCTGAAAAGAGGACACCAATTAAACATCCTGATAATTTGAAACCGGAAGGTGATTTCCAAGGTAAACCTAAGGAAGATGCACCGAAACGTGGGGAAAGAGCTGACGTTAAGAAACCCAAAGACAATTTACGTCCCGAAGGTGAATTCGATAGACCTGTTAAGACTCCAGTCAAACCTGCCGAAAAACGTACGCCTATCAAACATCCGGATAATCTCAAACCTGAAGGAGATTTTATTGGTCGTCCTAAAGATGATTTCAAACCGACCAAAGGTGAACGTGCTGATGTTAAAAAACCTGAGGATCATCTTAAACCTGAAGGTCCGTTTGAGGGTCGTCCTAAAGATGACTATGTAACAGTTCGTGGTGAACGAGTGGACGTTGTAAAACGTACCGATAATCTTCGAATGGAAGGTGACATCGAAACCTACAGATCTCGTGACGAGTACACTGATTTTATGATACGGGAACGTGCCGAGGTTGTCAAGTATCAGGATAATCTACGTATGGAAGGTGAATTCACCGATGTAAGAACCAGAGATGATTTCAAAGTTGTCAGAGGTGAACGAGTAGACATTGTCAGGCACGAAGATAATTTGAGAATCGAAGGTCCCTTCGAAGGTCGGCCTAAGGATGATTATTCGCCCAAGAGAGTGACCAGACCAGAGATCAAAAAACCAGAAGATAACTTGAAACCTGAAGGTGAATTTGAGAGACCCGAGAAGGAATCGGTTGGACCAGCTGAACGTAGGTCACCCATTAAACACGATGACAATTTGAAACCCGAAGGTGAATTTATTGGTCGTCCAAAAGAACAAGCACCTAAGAGAGGTGAACGTGCTGACGTAAAGAAACCCAAGGATAATTTGAAACCAGAAGGAGACTTTGAAAGGCCTGAGAAAAAACCTGTTGGTCCGGCTGAAAGAAGATCACCAATAAAACACGCTGATAATTTGAAACCAGAAGGTGATTTTGTTCAAAGACCGAAAGAAGTAAAACCTGGCAAAGGTGATCGTGCTGTTATCAAAAAACCGAAAGACAATTTGAAACCTGAAGGTGAATTTGATAGACCAGAGAAGACAACAGTTGGACCTGCTGAAAGAAGAACACCGATAAAACATCCGGACAATTTGCGCCCTGAGGGTGAATTCGTAGGTCGTCCTAAAGATAAAACACCTGGTAAAGGTGAAAGAGCCGATGTCACGAGACCCAAAGACAATCTTCGTCCTGAAGGAACATTCGAGAGACCGGAAAAAAGTCCTGTCGGTCCAGCAGAAAGACGTACACCAATCAAACACGAAGACAATCTTCATCCCGAAGGTGAATTCATTGGTAGACCTAAGGACGATTTTACACCGAAACGTGCCGAACGTCCTGTTCAAAAAAGACCGAAAGACAATCTCAAACCGGAAGGTGAATTTGTTGGCAAACCAAAAGATGATTACAAACCTAGCAGACCAGAGAAATCCGAGATCGTCATACACCGTGACAATTTGAAGATGGAGGGTGATATTCACGTGCACAGATCAAGAGACGATTACGTTACAACCTCGAGAATCGAACGAACGGATGTTATTCGCAGAGAAGACAATCTCAAAGTAGAAGGTGAATTTGTCGACATTAAAAGACGTGACGATTACAGAGTAACGCGTGGTGAACGTAGTGAAATTATTAGACACGAGGACAATCTTCGTCCAGAAGGTGACTTCGAACGTCCAGAAAAAACACTGGTAGGTCCAGCAGAAAGAAGATCACCTATCAAACATCCAGACAACTTGAAACCAGAAGGTGATTTTGTTCAAAGACCTAAAGAATCGTCACCTGGCAAAGGTGATCGTGCAGCAATCAAGAAACCTAAAGACAATTTGAAACCAGAAGGTGAATTTGATAGACCAGAAAAATCTCCAGTTGGACCTGCCGAAAGGAGAACGCCAATAAAACATCCTGACAATCTTCATCCAGAAGGAGAATTCATTGGTAGACCTAAAAAAGAAACTCCAGGTCGTGGAGATCGTGCTGATGTGAAAAAACCGAAAGACAATCTTCATCCTGAGGGTGAATTCGCTAAACGTACACCGAAAAAAATTGAACCAGCTGAGAAACGTGGCCCGATTAAACACGAGGACAATTTGCACGTTGAGGGAGAATTTTATATCGTACCGAAGGATGATTACAGTCCTCAAAAAGTTGAACGTTCACCTATGAAAAAGCCTCAAGATAATCTCAAACCGGAAGGTGAAATGCACATCGTACAAACTTCGAAAGAAGATTACAAATATACGAATGGTGAAAGAATGGAAGTACGTCGTCACGAGGATCATTTGCGTATGGAAGGTGAATTGGATGTTCGACGATCTCGTGACGATTACAAGAAAATCACTAAAGTTGAGCGAGTTGATGTCAAGAAAAGAGAGGATCATCTAAAAATCGAAGGAGAATTCATAGACGTACGAAGAAATGACGATTACACTTACGTTGTTGGGGATCGGGTGTCTGTTAAAAGACAATCCGATCATTTGCGTCCCGAAGGAGACTTTGACAGACCTCAAAAGAGTCCCGTGGGTCCAGCCGAACGAAGATTACCGATCAAACATCCTGACAATTTGAAACCAGAAGGTGATTTTGAACGTAGGACACCGGAAAAGGTAAAACCAGGTGAAAGACGTTCACCCATTCGTCATGTAGACAATTTGAAACCTGAAGGGGACTTCATAGGCCGTTCACGTGACGATTACACGATGAAACGTGGAGAAAGAAGCGAGGTGATCAGAAGGGAAGACAATTTGAAGATGTCTGGTGATTTCCAAGGTACCAGCATGCAAAAGTCGACTTATACTGTAGTCCGTGGTGAACGTGCTGAGGTTAAACGTCACGAGGATAATCTTAAAGTCAGCACTGATAGTATGGAAACCAAGACAACGAACAAGGACACGTTTACACCAATCAAAAAGGATTTGTCAACTGGTGATAGACAAGTAAGTCGAAGACGTCATATGGAATCATCGATAAGTTTAGGTGACGATACTAGCGTCATGACAACAACTAATCAAAAGAATTACAATACGTATACCAAACGTACTGGTAAAGAAGTTGCCGCACAAATCAGTAATATTGGATCAGAAACTTGGACGAGTGGCAGTGACGTTAAAAAGACAACCTCATCAGTTCAATCCGATCAACGTGTTTCTTCAGCTCACACTGCACATCATCAGACAATCATTGATCGTCGTAATGTATCAGCAATGAACAACGAACAACGTTTACATACAACTCATCATCATCATCAACAACATCAACAGCAACAGCAACACTTGAGTGAACATCAGCAAAGAATGTATTCAAACGAACAACACTCCAGATCCCAAAATGTAGTTCAATCTCGACGTATCATAGAAGACAGATCGTTAGATCATCAATCACGTCAAGGCCAAATTATCAAAGATAGCAAACAGATTCAAGATACTCAAAGACAACAGGTTCAGGATAGTAATAAACGGGATTACGTTAATTCGATGCACATTGATAAACGTCAAACGACAAGTGCTCAGACGAAAAACATCAAACAACACGAACAACACACGATTTCTAGCCAGGCCAGATACAACGGTAATCAAGCGAGTAGTTCGGAATTCAAACAAGCTATCAGTGGATCATCATCTGTCATGGACAATACTCAAGAATCTCAATCGTCTTATCACAAAACGTCTCATCACAGAAAAAATATCATTTCATCGTCATCCACCGATGTAACAAATTCTGTTCTTCATCGTCGCAGTGGGATGACAACGTCAACCGAAGCACTGCACACAATTTCATCGACTGCTGCTGATCAGAAAAAGAGTTTGTCGAATTTAGCAGAAAGTGGACAATACATAAGCAACTCGAGTCAAAGTACTGACAGACGTAGTTACACTTCGATGCATCGTAACAATAAAGAAGCCAATCCTTGGGCATCATCTACTTACGAAAGACCCCAACGAATCGTAAGACAGGACAATTTAACTGTCGGTGGTAAATTTTATTCTCAAAGCGAGGCCAAAACTTATGGCAATTTTGCTAGCAATCAAAAAGTCGAAAGAGTACACAAACAACATACCAATGTATCCCATATCAAATTAGGTGATGGTAGTGCTGTAACATCGAGCATGTACAAAAAAGAATATTCCCCTAAACACAAGGGTCCTTGTCCTGCATCCCTCATTGAATCCAAACAAACACCCTTCAAACATACGCGTGACACCCCTAAACATAAATTTTACATGCCAGTTGTATCCAATTAAAATCGAGATTTACTTGACGAATCTCTGTCATAGTTTCATCTATGATTTTGTTGTTGTTGTTGATCTATGACACAAGAATAATCCAACGAAATTTTTTCTGAGTATTTGATCAAAGGTGTGCTCCAATTAATCCATGACATATTTTGTACGAAACTAGAAAACAGGAGCAACGGATTCGATTGTTAAAAAATAATTCATTGATTGTGATAAAAAAAATTTGTTTGTTTATTTGTTATAATATATATATATATATAAATATTATATATATTATGCATGATTGACAATTAATTTGAAAAATTCAACCAACGTGTATTACGAAGCAATAATTAGAGCTTAAATAAAATAAAATAAATAATAATTAATAATAATAATTATAATAGTTATCAGTGATAAGGGTTCGATTTTAAACAGAAAGTTTCAAGATCGTCAAATTAATTAGGTTAATCATGGACTATGTTTAATTATTTTTTTTTGATAAATATACCGTCCACTTTTCAAATATATATATATACATATATATATATATATATATGTTTTTTTTTATATTAAATATATAACAAATATATATTCCCCTTTTTTTGTTGTTTGTTTGTTTGTTCCAGCAATATCGACGCTTTTTATTATTTTCTTTACTTTATTTTTAGTTTATTTGATAAACGAATGAATGATTGTTTATTCTTTTTTTTTCATTTATTATTTGTCAATGAATTTATTTTTCAATTATATATATAAATACGTGTATCTACAATTATGTTATGTTATGTTATTTATTTCGTATTCCCTTTTTTCCTTCCTCTTCTTTTTATTTTGTTAATTTACAATACTACAATCTTCTAAGCAATGTGTAAAATGATTGTTTGATCTACATAATTTTTTAATATAATCACAGATAAAGTTTTTCTTTGACTCCCTAATGAATAAAAATACGATTTGCTAATCGTAGATTTCAAATTAGGCGAATTGTCAAAGAAAATATAATTAATATATCATTTCTTATTTTTATATGTTTTTTTTTTTTCAAAATAAATAATTGATTTTATAAATTATATTCTATTACTTAACACACAGTGATATACAGTACGTGTAAGTATTAGTAAATAATAATTAAAAAAAGAAAAAAAAACAAAAAAACTAAAATAATATTCTAATTTAATACTCTGTGTGTTCTCAGTGCAGTAGGAAATTAATACAGGAATGGGAATTACAATTTTTTTAACTAGGATTATTTGTTAAAAAAGAAAAATCATGAAATTGTAAATCTTAGAAATTGTTTTAAATTTTACATAAATGAATTTTAAATATCTGGAAAAAATKTAATTTAATTTTGAAAATGAACATTTTTGATCTAACTGAGTGAGAATTTTTCAATCCCATTTCTGTATTATTTAGAATTAATTATAAGCAATAAAATAAATCTATAATATTAAACACATAAATCGTTCACTGTAAAAAATAATGATCGTCAATTCTCTTTTACAAACAACTTCCTTCGTTGATTTTTATTTTGATTGATTTATTTTTTTTTTTCTTTTTCTTACGTTTTACGAAGCTTAATCAAGTTTCAATTATGAAACATGATTTAACGCTGGTGTTAATAAATAAAATAAAATACAAAAAATCTAGCACAAATATTGTCGTTAATGTTATCGAATTTTTTTGTATAGTCGAGAAAAATGCAATAAATAAATAAATAAATAAATACATATATTGTAAAATATCAATTGTACAATATAAAAACCGCATACCACGAGAGATATTTGAAATAAATAAAAAAAAAAAAAACAAAAAATAAATGTGATTGATATAAATCGATATGAAATAAAAAAGCCAAAAAAAAAGAAAACGTGCATCGAAATTCTTCATCTTTTGTTTTGTTTTTGCAAACGTTACATAAAAAAAAAAAAAAAAATGTGAAAATATTTTCTACACGTCAAATTAATCGATACACATAACCAAACTACATATACATATATATATTATATATTAATTAATAATTAAATTATACAATAACATTACAAATAATATATATATAAAAAAAACACCCCCTTTTGGAAAGATTTAATTTTTTTTTTTTTAACAATGATTTGATACACAATGTTGAAAATATTCAAACTAATTAACAATTTGATCTTGATCCTACCAATATTATTTCAATTAACAACAAGCAAACCTTTTATCAATTCGTACAATAATATTACCAAGTAAGTAATTAAATAATATAATATGTTAAATAAATAATTCATTGCTTTTAATTTTTATATTTATATATTTAGGATCAATCAAGAACTTAATAATAATAATAATAATCATTTGAACAATGACGATGAACAAATGTTTATACTGTTCAATAAAACTTTGGATTATTTAATACCACGACGTCGTTTATTGGACAATCATAATTCACATAATTATTCTAAACTTAAAGATACTCAACAAAATAATATTTCTATTAATACCAATGAGAATTATTTTTCAACGTCAACATGGACGTCAGATTTAACCAATGTTACTGCCAATACAGAATATTTGTCTAATTTACCAATGATCTATGAAGATTCAACGCATGTTAGAAGAAAAAGAAATGCATTGGAAGATGATAATCGTTCAAAGTTTGACGATGAACATGAAACTGATGAAAAACTTAACGATAAACGTTCATCGTCATTGTCATCGTCATTGTCATCGTCATCATCTGATAACGATGAAAGTGTGGATCAAAATTCGAATGTAGACAAATCTGAAAATGATGAACTCGAAGATTACAACGAAGAATCCAATGAAAATGAAACTGATGATCAAGAAAATGTGGTTCAATCGAAAGATACAAAAGTGAAACGTGAAAGTTCTGATTACGATTACGTTGATGATCAAGATAAATCATCGTCAAATGATGTTAGAGTCAAACGTGACGAAACTAAACAAACCAATGATAAAACCATGGTCAAACTTGACAATGAAAATACTAAAAATACCGAATTAATATCGTCTAATAAGAATGACGATGATAAAAGTAAAGAATCAGAAGAGAAGAAGGATGATATGACGGATGAGAAAAAATTAACGAAAGAGGAAGATGAAAATGACGATTATGAGAAACGTGTTGAGGAAAAGATCAAACGTAAAATCGATTCGATCAAGGAAGAAATCAAAAGGGAAATCGAAAGGAAACGTAGGGATCGTCAAATAGAAAAAAACAATGCAAAATTTGATGAAATTCAGAACAAAGATGATGAAGAAGAAGAAGAAGAAGAAGAAGAACAGGAGAATATAAATGACAACATTTCTTCTAATGTTGAAGATAAAAAAGTCATTGCCAAAAGATCGTCAGAAATTGTTAATAGACCTAAAAGAAGAAGGGAAAGAAGAATAAGAAGCAGAAGAAGAGGAAGAAGAAGAAGAAGAAGAAGAAGAAGAATATCAAATGACAATGACAAAATCATTAATCGTTTGGAAGAAATTGAAGGTGTTGATAATCTCAATGACGATGAATATCGAATTGCCGAATCGATTCACGAAAGTAATATTAAAAAACGATTTGCACCTGTTGTTGTTGTTGAAAGATCTATCAAAGACGATGAATCGATGAAAAATCAAATGTCTATGAACAAAGTACCTATTAAAAAAAGGGAAAAGGTACGGCAAATGTTTATCGTTAAAAATGACAACGACATGAGACGTAAGAGGAAGAAGAAGAAGAAGAAGAAGAAAAAAAGAAAAATCGATAATCAGGATGAAAAACGTGACGACGATGATTTAACGATGTTTGATAGAAATTTACTTCGTAAAAATCGACAAGATGAAGAAGATAAAATAATTGACGATGATAATAAGAAGGTAAGAATTAAAAGGGCTAACGAAAGATTGATTACTTTTGAATACAGGCCGCAAAATATCGAAGACGAGGAAAATGACGAAGGCAATGAATTTGGTGACGATAATGTTGAAGATAGAACATCCAATTTGAAAGATCGTAATAGTAATTCGTTGATTGAGGATCAAGAAGATAAAGAAAATCAACGAGCTAATTTTCTATTCCCTGGAATTTCATTTCAATCGTAATATTTTCTTCATTAGTTTATTGTTTTTGTCTTTTTTTAATATCTAATTTATCGTTGCACGATCATTTATTTTACTCTACGATCGGTTAACAAGAAATTCTCGTTATCAACGTGAGAAATAAGTAAAATAAAATAAAACAAAACGAAAAAAAAAAAAAGGTTAAAACTATTATCTTTTTCGATTAAAGAGCCAATCCGATTTGAGAGCTTTGGCATCATCATCATCATCATCATCGTCAGCGAGGGATTCGAATCGACGATTAATTACGGATTACAACGAAGCTTTTGGTGGTCTTCAAAGTCTTCGGGATAATCCTAATGGAGCTTTGACTCGATTTAAAAGGATCAAACGTGTTCTACAAAATTCACGAACTTTACATAAAAATAAACTATCCAACTGATACACGAACATTGTATAAAAAAAAAAAAAAAAAAAAAAAAAAAAAAAAAAAAAAGTAACATATACATTATTTAATTTAGATATAAAAATTATTATTTCAATTAATATTTAAATAATATCTCTAGTATCTAAGAACTAGTAGAAACTTTAATAATAATAATAATAAAATAAATTCTTATATAATTTATTATCTTAATATATATAAATTACGTGTCACGTTTGTTTGTCCGCAATGGACTCCTAAACTACTGAACCGATTTTAATAAAAATTTTCCACACTGTGTGCAGTTTCATCCAACTTGAAAGATAGGATGAGTTTATATCTCAATTTATAATTAATAATAATAATAATAATAATTAAATATAAGAATAAAATATAGAGGTTTTACGGGCAAATACACATAGAAACACGACTATATAGATGTTTTAAGATTTAATAATGAATGTACGATTAAACACAAAGAAGACACATAGATCGTTTAACCCTTGTGCGCTTACATTATGGTTTTTAAAGGGAGGAATCGGGCGGGTTTGGGCCGAAAGGGAACTGGGATCGTAGGATTCAAAGGGAAGAAGTTTTTTTTCTTTTCTTTTCTTTCTTTTTTTTTTTTATAAATCATTCTTATCATTCGAATGATACAATTTTCGTCAATCACATATATCTTTCTCCATTTTTCTTGTTCTTTCTTTCATTATTATATAATTATTATTTATTTATTTATTTTTTTGTTTGTTTCTTTTACTTTCTCTATCTCTCTTTCTCTCTCTCTTTCACTTTCACCATTTCTTTCTATCGCTTGTTCCTAAATTTTATACAACAATATGAAACAATTATTTACAATGATAGGTATTGCATTAAGAAGAGGAGTTGATTTTTTTTTTATCTTTTCTTTTAACTTTAGTTTAAGACTAAATGCTTATGTGTGTATATATATATATATGTGTGTGTGTATATGTGTGTTTATGTGTGTGTTCGTAGAGAAGAATTATTTATACATAATTGAAGAAATTGAAGCGATCGAGATCGAAAATTTGTTTAAAGTGTCGTACGAATAAAAAGTTAAAATTGAGATGACAAATGAAAAATTTTGATAAAAAAATTGTTATGTTTCGTATTGTGATAGAAATGAAAAAAGAAAATTATTATGATTATTGTTTTTGATAATTGTTTATTTAATTATTTCGAGCTCGATCGCATGATGAGCAGGCCCTGTGTACGAGTCGATATTAAATTTAATGATTCGTACGGTACGATGATTACGTTTTATTCTTAATTATTAAACATTTGTTTGTTTTTTTTTTTTTTTTAATTAATTAATTAATTCATTCATTCATTAGATTCATTAGATAAACGCGAAACCGAATTCGAGTATTTTCCTTTTCTCTCGATTTGTATTTTTGTTTTTGTTTTTCGTTTTCGTTTTCGTTTTCGTTTTCCTTCTTTTGTGTTTTTGGTTGAGAGTTTGTTTTTTTTATAATTTTTAAGTAATTTTTTTTTTTTAAAACGTCAATCGAATCATCAGTCTGGCAAAGGCTCGTTGCTACAACGTTTTGTGAGGCACCGAATTTTCTCTCTTGTTTCTTCTTCTTCTTTTTATTTTATTCATGATTTTTTGTCAAAAAAAAAATAAAATAAAATAAAAAAAAAACAATCAATAAAAGTGTTCTCGATCTCGTTCGTAAAAATTTCTATGTATCTCGAAAGAGAAAAAAGTTTTTAACTGTTTTTTTTATTTAGAAAAATCGATGTCTGAGAAATATGGTGTTCGCAATAATATAATACAACAACGTAACGATATTACATAATAAATGTTTGTTCTTATACAGATGTATATGGATTAATATATACATATACATATATATATATATTATTAATAATAATAGATAGCTTATTTATACCACAATAATTTGGCTATTTACAAATCGTATGTACAAGTTTTATTTTCTTCATTTTCCATTTTATTTTATTTATTTATTTTTTTTTTTTGATTTGTCTAATTATTTCTTAGACCAGGGGTCTGCAACCTGCGGCTCGCGAGCCACTCGCGGCTCTTTAGTTAAAAGAATTTAGTAAAAAAAAAAAGGAAACATTTAAAAATCGTTCTGAAATGCGAGTACTATTTATTATGTTGGTAAGAAAAAAATTTGGTGGATCTTGAAATCTTTGAAATTTTGTAAATTATAATTATTGACTCTTCCGATTCAAAAGGTTGCCGACCCCTGTCTTAGACTTAATCTGAGATTAGACGAAATTATTGATGTTAATATATGTGTAAATGTAATGTAACGTGTGTGTGTGTGTATGTGTGTGTATTTTTGTCTTCCTCTCTTTCTTTTACATATTCGTTTGTAGACAGCAACTTTAATACATTTCAAGATGGCTGACAAATTTCAAAATCGAATGAAGTTTTATCAAAAACATGTGTACGTATACGTCATGTTGATTTTAACCAAAAAAAAAATGGAGAGAAAGAAAGAGAGAAAGAGAAATAAAGCGACAATCTATTTTTTTTTTTTTTTATTAACAAAATAAAAAAGGTAGTTTTTTTTTTTATTGATTAGTATATGTATTCTACTGTAACAACCGGAATTTCAAGTCGAAAAATCTTATATAGCACAGTCGTTTTATTATTTAGAAGATGTGTTTATTTATTTATTTATTTATTTATAATATGTTTTGTTTATGCAAAGAATTCTTTTTATTTTTATTAATTATTTTTCTCATATGATTCCTCTCATTTTATTTGTCAGCAAATATTTTACTCTTTTACCCGACCGGACACACTCGTTTTTATTCTTTTTCATTTTATTTCATTTTTTGTCTCGATAGGCTCTCGTAAATTATTATTATTATTAAATATTTAAGTACTAATTGTGTAAGATATTTTTTTTGTTTGCTTATTTTTAAAATTACACGATCATCTGAGTTTCTAATATTTCATTTCTCTTTTTTTTTTTTTTACTTCTTCTTCTTCTTCTTCTTTTAATTATTCATCTTTGTCTTCATTTTCTTCCTCGTTTGTTTCTACCATTATTATTATTATTATTATTATTAAATAATGTAGTGTATATCGATTAAAAATGAATTCTTAAGATCTAAGGCGAATATTTAATACCGCACTTTGGCACCATTTTCAAAACCATACTCCCGATTTTTGAAAAAAGAAAACAACAACAATTCTTTGACATATATGAAAAACAAAATGTATTACAACAAGTTATATTAGGTGTTTCGGAAAGTTGTTTCGTTTTTTGCTGACGCAATAATGGCGTTAGTTGATGCAAATCGACAAATAGTAACACATGAGTTAGATGAGAGATTAAATTGATCAAATTCAACTATTTATGACCCACTTGAAAAGGTTTAAGTTTAACGTCGAAGCCAAAATTGTGTCTTCATTTTTACAAAATTAAAACAAAAACGACTTTCCTAACCATCTAATAATTTTATAGCTATATAACAAGAGGACGTATGTATGTATTATACTATAATAGAAGGTACATGTGTGTGATAATCGTTATCGATCGTTTTTAAGAATAGTTTTTGTTTGTTTGTTTTTCTTTTTTTTTTTTTTTGTAAAATTTTCGATCATTCTCATTCAAATTTAATTGAATTGCAATCACGTATGATTCAACGATTCTTTAAAAAAGCGTAATTGCTACATATATATATATTTTACGATCAAATATGAACAATTCGGTATTTTAAATAGTATGTAAATTAGTATAAATGTATGTATGAATAATTTTACATACGTAAATTTGAAAAACTTTAAACAGTAAATGGTGAACGTTTTGAAGATGCTGACTGATAAAGTTTTGTCCAGATTTTACACAGATTGAAAAATTAACAATCGTTTTAATCAAAATTCAATGATACAAGTATAAAAATAAAAGAAAAATAGAAAAGGATCAAATAGGACAATAATATATATATTAATAATAATAATAATAATAATAATAATAATAATAATAATAATAATAATAGACGTGGATATTTTTCGATAATTCAAAGATAAATTACAAAGTTTTTTTTCGTACAAAGATTAATAATAATATACAAAGTGTACATTAAAACTATGACGAGGATTAAAACGATTTATAAATTTTATTTATAATATTTATATATATATATATATGCATTTAAATAAACTATATATCGCGAATCTTGAACATTGATGACAATGGCAAAAAAAATATGTTGGAAAAATGAATAAAAATAGGAGGAGGAGGAGGAAAAAAACATCACAGTGTATGTGTGAAAATTATTTACAATTGTTTAACGAGTCTTCATTTAAAACCCGACTTACATATATATATATATATGTTTTCTTTCATTTGAATATTTGAAATTACATTAGAAAGCTACGAGTGTCAAAGATGTTTCGATTGAAATGTTTCTTTTTCCTATTAATTAATTTTATTTATTTTTTGTTATTAAAGTAATAATATTATAATAATAATAATTAAAAGAAAAAAAAGAAAAAGTGGTAAAAGATCGACCAAATCTTTCGATATTTTCGCA